TTTGCTGAATATCAAACATATTCACAATTTTTATAGAAAGGTTTGGGTTAGAAGGAATCTAAAGGTCATGTAGTTCCAAACCCCCTGCCATGGGCAGGGACACCTTCCACTAGATCAGGTTGCTCAGGACCCCATCCAACCTGGCCTTTAACACTTCCAGGGATGGGGAATCCACAACTTCTCCTGACAACCTGAAACAGCATCTCACCATTTCAAACTGCAATACCACAGAACAGGCTGCACAGTATATTTTTTGCCAGCTCCCTAGGCAGAAATTAATCTACAAGTTCAGATTTCAGATATGGTTCTGGCTCCAGCTTCCCCTGAGACTTCAGTGTGTTCCTGTGAGTCAGAAGTTTCAGGCAGATTTTCTTCCTTCTCTTGTGATCAATGTTAACAGTATTTTTTCTAAGGCCCCTTCTGGTCCTGGGTACCTATATTTCTAAAAGGACCTGTGCAAGTACTATATTAGTTTATGGTGAGAAAGTTTGTATTTATTCTTTGAAACTGACAAAGTGTTGTACAGAATTTCAGTGCTAACTACTACATTTTACAACTGTTTCATCCTCCCAAGATGCAAAACCTCTCCATTTTGGTTTTGATTCTCAGATTTTGTCACACATCACTTCAAAACATCCTCCCTCTGCAGTTGTCACCATCAAAGATGACTCACCTCTGCACATCAGAAATTCAAAGTAAGAAACAAGCACAGCAACTGCTGCAGTTTCTCATACTTCACACAAATTCTTCCCTAAGTCCTCTCCAAAATATGCAGTTCTAGTGACTTACCTCCAGAAGAAATAAAATGGTTCACTTATCAAAATGTAAATGGAACCTAATCCTTCCAAATGACTGAAAATTGCCAAAGTTGTTATCATTTGCAAAAAAACATCATCTCCACGCTGGGCAGGTTTCCCAGCACTCCGCCTAGTCAAGCCGAAAACGAATCATGTAACCCTCTACTGAAGCGGAACAGAACATTAGTTTGGCAATTCCACTTTCACACAAGTGTCCATTTTTAAGCCCTGCCTCCTGCATAAGGATCACAACTCTGAGGGCATAGTTTTAGGGGAAAAAGAAACTTCTGACTTTTCCATTATTTTCTATCACTATTTAGAATAGCTAATGTGGGCAACACAAGTGATTTTTTTTAAGTTCTCCAATTAGACACAAATAAAGAGGCTTTTTTTCAGGGGTATCTTATATATGTGAATAGCTGGAATGTTCTGCTGATACACTTCCTTAAAAGGACTCTCAATCTTAGAAATATTGGTCCAAAAGTAGGCTTAGATCTACATAATCCTGGAGACAACCAGTACAAGTGGCCCACAGCAGTGAGCTGACAGACACACACCGAGTGCTCTGGTACACACTCACTATGTGCCCACCCAGATACGCCCCTGGCACCTTCTCTGCCTCACTTCCCTGTAGACCAAAGGCATTTGCTGCCAGACAAAGCCGTGTTACAGAACCACAGCCCAGCGCTCAAAAATTACATGTCAAAAAAAGCAAACTGACACGGGCCCGCCCTGTCATCTTCAACAACGATTTCTCTGTTGTGACATGAGCTACGCGGTGCCACCTGCGCACGCTTCCATTTCTCGGAAGAGAGAAACAAGGTGGATGCGTGTGCAGCAGGAGCTCGCACGCCCCAAGCCTCCCGTCCCTCCCCGGCAGCACAGAGGGCGATGCCCGCGCACCGGCGGCTCTGCGGAGTGCCGGGGCACGGCGGCCCCGAGGAGAGCCGGGCACGGCCGTCGCGGTACCCCGCCGCATCCCGAGAAGAGCCGCTCACCTGGCGGGTCATCAGCGACTTGATCTTCTGCATGATGGCCCCGCCGCCGCCCCGAGTGCGCTCAGCGGCCGCGCAGGGCGCCGGGGCACGGCGCAGCCATGTTGGGCGCCACCTGACCGCGCCCGCCCGCGGCTCCCCGGGAGCGGTAGTTCCCGGCGGCCGCCCCGACTACAAGTCCCGGCAGCGCGGCCGGCAGGGCGGGCCTGGAGCTGCGGCGTTTGTTTGTGTCGGTTTGGGTGTGATTAGCTCCGAGGATAAAACGGGGCTCTGTGTATAGAGACAAGCTGGTGCGTACACCAAGACGAGGGGAATTTCCTGGTTGTTTCGGGTTCTTTCGAGCTGTGAAAAGTGCATATTATACGGATCTACGCAGCTATTTACTATACACATTAAGTTGTATTGAGTAGAGCTGTATTAACATTTTAATACTCTGGTAAATGTAGTTTCATAGCAAAAAGGTAGCTTTTGTAGTTAAAATAGGAACTATGTGTGTGGAATGTTTTCTTTTAGAAAGGAATGAGGGGCCCTCACCGGATGGAGGCTGCAGGACACCTAAATCTTTCAGAAAAAGGGAATTTATTGCTCACTTATCAGCAGAAAACTAACTTCTTCCCACCTCGCTCAGACAGGAAGACGGCATGAGGATTAAGAGGAAGAAGTTGACAGTGACCAGACAGAATTCTGTGTTTGAATGGAATTTATGCATCATGTATGAGATGTATGAATATGCAGCAGATGATTGTTTTTAAGGATTAATCCTCTGTTAACGGGGGTCCTTTTTCGGGCTTGTGTTGCCCAGAAAAAGGTAGCCAGACGTCTGTATCTCTTTGTTTTTATTGTCTCATATTTTCCTAATCGCAAATGTTCAAATTTTATTATCCTAATTGTATTACTATTTTTATAACCATTTTATTACTATTAAACTTTTAAAATTTCAAAAACAAGTGATTGGTGTTTTTCACAGGACGTTACGCACAGCGCGTCTGGCCTGTTCACGGGTGATGGATGTAGTTTTGCATCGGTAAAACAGGCTTGTGTCACTCTTATTTAGTTGTATTGATAGCAGCTTAAAAAAACCACACACACTAAGACCCACCAGATAGCTTTTTAAGTCTAATTCATATAAGTACAAGGAAAGAAAGAATTTATCCTACAGTCTTTGCTTAAGTGGAGGCACTTTGGAGGGCGAGAGCACCTGCACATCCGCTATGGAATGGCTGTGCCTGTAGAAAAGTGGGTTTTTTTTCCTTGTCGAGGGCACTCCGCGTGTTTCCTGGTCCTGCTGTTACTCAGCGCCCAGCTGCTGCCGAGTTGTCCAGGGCAGGGCAGGTGAGAGCAGGTGCCTTTGGAATGGCCCTCTGGCAAAGGGAGGGTCAGGAGCCACGCTCCCTCCCTGCTCTCTGTGCCAGGAGCTCATTACTTCTGGCTGCCTTTGGGAATATCGTGTAATTGTTTAGTAGAAAGCCTCTAACAATTTTAGCACATAACAAAGTTACTTCTCATTAATAAAATAATTAAATTTTGCAGATTGTTGGTGCTGCAAATAGTATTGCTTTAATTTAGTTGCTTCTATTGAAAACAAGGGAGGTTTGATTTAAGTCTAAATTTAACATTTAACAACTAGTGCAAGCTACAAGTGTACTGAAAAGAAAATCCATTTTTCACATGCACAATATTTGTGTGGGTTCATGTAAAAACCTGCAGTATGTTAATAACACCAACAATATGTTAAAATGCTGAAAATAACAGGACAATAGAAAAACATAACTCTGCTTATCTGTTCCTTTTTTATTATTATTTTCTTAGCCCGTATGGGGCATTTGAAGTGCCAACACAAGTTTTATTCCAATGCTAAAGGTCCCATCATTTCAGTTAGAACTTAGTTAGAATCTATGACCAATATTTTGTTACATGGTGAAATCAAGTAGATAATAATTTCTAACCTAGGTTTTATGAAAGGTTGCAATTTGATATATCAAGCCTACAGTTAGGTGGATTAAGCAGCTTCCAGACAACAACATTCAGGTGGGCAGGACAATAGAGTCAGAAAGCTTTTGGGACTATGTGAAATACCCTCTTCATCTCCTGACATATGTCAGGTGGTGATATTATTTCTGGTGGGATCACTGTACTTCTGCTTTATTAATCTGTAATAACTCTTGTGTTTCTTATATTGGACCTGGAAGCATCTGGGTGTTTTCACCTCTCTTTAACTAAGGTAAAACTTGAGTGCTCATTGCTCCTGATGGGGGCTTAGCACCTTGCTGGACCCCTGCTCCTAGCACACAGTGAGAGGGAGGCAATTCCTTCCTACAAGTTGCTCCTGCACAAAGCAGAATAAAATCTAGCCTAATGTTTGTTAATCCATAATAGTCTGTCTAAGTCTGTTTACTGAAAAATACTGTGTGGTTTTGTATGGACAAACCATCTCTGTCACTGCTAATATTTGCTGTTGCAAACTGTTACTGCACAGCTCTGGGAGGGTTTGTCCAGTTTGATGCTGATTTGTATGGTGAATGACAGCTTTGGACAAAATCCAAATCCTACATTAATATTAATTTAAAACTGATGTAAGTTAATGGAGAAGAAACAATAATCAGCAGTTAACAACTGTAGTAAGCTCTCCACTCTAGCCATAGGATTTTCATTTCAAAGATGTGTCATAGGCACTCGACATCACATGTTGTTTAAAGAAAGGGAGTTAATTCTTTGCTGAGTTATACTTATGTTAAGGAAAAAATACAGAAAAGTTATGGGCTTGAAAGTGCTAAGAAAAAAATAGAAAGGCTGTTTAACAGCTGTTTTATGGGGTTTTTTTGCAACAGAAAATGAGAGGCTGTCAGAAAAGTTCTGAAAAAATATTCTGAATACTAATTTTAGTTTGAAATATGCATGTAACATCACAGTATTTTTATGAAACTGTAGCTAAAGGAAGTTAATGACTGTATAACCTGTTCACTTGGTGCGTTTACTTACTTCTATTAATTAAATGTACTTTGTATTGTGTGCCCCATTTATTACATTCTGTGTCATATTTGCTGTGACTGCTGGGGATGGGTTATGATAAAGTCAGAGGCAATGAAGATGGGTCCTCATCTAACAGGTGCTCCACTCCCTTTGTTCTTTGTATACACATATTCAAATCACATAAGGCAGGGGACAGGATAGGACCTGTTAACTCATTGCTGATTTCCCTAGCAAATAAACCAGCAGCTGCAGGTCCAAGCCCTGGCTTAGTGCTGAGAAGGTGGCCTTTGTGTGGGACAGGATGCTTTCATGGAGCCCTTTAGCCAACTTCTTTTGGGACTTACAGTGCAAAATATATTTTCTACTTGTAGGTAAGAGACAGTATGAATTATATTTGATTGTCATTGTGGAAATGTGAATTGGTTCTATAAGATTTATCTTTATAAATTGAAAGGTATTTCTGTTGCATTGTTAGGTGTTTCATTTCAAGAAGGTAGCCTAAAAGCTTTTCATCAGGTAGTGGCACCTTGTTTTATAAGTGAAACTAAAGTTTTAGCAGCTGAACAAAAATGGGTGCTATATACAATCTCTGTAAAACTTGGCATTGATTAAATATGCATAATCTACATGTAAAACGTAGTTATTGATAAAATAAATACTATTACATTTTATTGAGTAACATACACATTGTGCATTCTTTTTAACCAGTAAGGCTGGATGAGTTCTAAACCAAAGATTATACAGAAGCTGTTTCGCACTTGTTTAAAAATTTGAGACAGCACTGATACATTATTTTTCACTTCTTTATTATTAATTAGTTTATTATTTATTAGTTTTTATAACATCTAAATGTAATTGGTATTGAAACTAAATTAAGCTTTTAGTCAGCTGAAGAATATCTCCCAATTAATACTGAATTTGTTTGGTGTCTGGGTGCAGTTTTTGTAAGTCTGTTTTATTTTTTTATCCATGCAATGAATAAAAAATAGATGTTCTATGTACTTTGACAGAAATATCCTGTGATCAAATGTTAGATAAGCTTATTTCTACAAACTACTGTAATTACCTTCTCTATATTTAATTGTTTTTGTAAATGTCAACAGAGGAAATGTATAATATTACAAACATAGTGCATCCTCTAATCCTTCATGTATAGAAACAACTTTACTTTTATCTTTGTGAACCTCGTAGTTCTAGCTTATTATAGGGTCACCTAGTTTCCTTGATTTTGAGCTCAATACTTTTTCAAGACTTTTGGCTCATAATGATTGATGTTATATATGATGATGATTGGATCTCTTCTTTAAAAATGAAAAATATTTGATTGATAAAGAGTAGTGATTTTGTGCTTTATCTGCTTTACCACTTTATTGGATATTTTTCATTAAAATCCTACAAGAGTTATTGTCATGCAAGCAGAGTGCTTAGAGTACAGGTTTATTCACCATGAAGTCTTATATCCTTACCCAGATATACACATTTTCTAGTAAAGGAAGTGTGCTGCCCATACTTCATATCATGATGATAATCAGCTACAATGGAGACATGACACAAAGGCCACTAAAGGCATTGACCTCAGCAAATAAAATTAAATCCTGTAACAAAGCTCAGTGGGACTTTTTCTTGGGCAAAAAAATCCCAATCCAGGGAAGATTACTCCCAAGTTTTCCGTTATATAAATGGAAGTATAGAAATTGCAGCTTTCCTGGACCATTACATCTGGGTTGTTTGGGGTTTTTTGTTCCATAAATGATCATACTTGTAAAAAAGGAAAAAAAATTCAGTGATCTAGTGACATTTTGCATCAAGTTCAGGAGAGTTGAATGGCTAAATGAACAGACTGGTGAAAAGCAGTTGAGAATCCAAACTCACTTTGACAAGGAGATGTGCATGTTAAACTCAGAGAATGCTAAAATCTTGCTAAGCAGGTTTCAGTTTATGCCATAAACTCAAAAATTATGTCATAGTTTTTTATTTAAACTAAAACTGCAGCCCTTGTTTTATGTCAACAACAATTCTGTTGTGCTTGCTAATACTGGTGATAGCAATGTGAAATGGAAGCAAAGCACAGATCACTGAGCTCCAAATGGAGGTCGTTGTGGTACAGCCCTTAGAATCATTATACAAAAGTTAGGTCTTGGAATTTCATCATCTTGGGAAAAAAGTGTATTATATTTGTGAAGCAGTAGGGATAGGCTTGAATTTTATGGAATTTGGGCCTGAAAAATATGAATTTAGTTTGACACATTGGCTTGATTTTGCTATTAACTTTAATTCAAGGATTAGTGATAACAGCCTCCAGTTTAAATTAAATATCAAGATTAGTCTAATAGAAGTGAATCATGGAACCCTTTAGGCTGGGGAAGACCCTAAAGAGCATCAAGTCCAGCCATAAACCTAACACTGCAAATTCCTCCATTAAAGCATGGTCCTGAGTGCCACATCTACACATCTTGGAAGTATCCCTAGGGACGATGACTCTGCCACCTCCCTGGGTGCCCCATTCTAATGCCTGACAACACTTCTGATGAAGAGGATAGCCCTCTCGATAAAGGATATTCCAGACTGTAAAAGACATGATCTCTGCTAAGACTGGAATATTTCCATCACTGCTCCTGTAAACCCCTAGCCTTTGGTAGAACACTGTTGTCTAATAACTTGCCCCAGTCTCAATCTGCCTTCTCCCTTGCCATACCAGCCATGGGGAAACTCCTATGGAATGTTTGCACTCCACAAAATCACCCCAGCAAACCCACAGAGAGCAACAAGAACTGGAGTTATCCAAAGCCACTCCTGAAGAGGCTGAGGGGAAAATGGCGTTTCTGCCCTCACCACCTCTAGTCGCAGCTAGAATAATTTCCTCAATTGCAGATCAAAATGTCTTTCCAAGACACTACGCAGAGCCAATTTTCCCTGTAAATCAAGTGGAACAAAGTTTATTTGCAGTTTCTATTCCAACAGTTTTTAGCTGCTACTGAAGTATGTTTTCCAGCCCTGATTCTGTTTTCATTACTCTGTTAGGCTGTTACCTTCCATACTGGTGGTCCCAGTCATCCTGGTGCTCACAAGACCTGCTTAGTTGTGCTAAGTTTTTGCACAAACAGATGTGTGAGAAATATTATTTGTTTTCCATATTTTGTTTTCCCTATTTTATGATTGCACTGCTTCTGTTACTGGCGTGTTGTCCAACAGCACAATCATCTATTGACAGCTAAATAAACTCAAAAATTGAACAGCATCCTACATAAAGAATAAGTATATGGACAGATCTTTTAATTACAGATCTCTCTGTGTTTGAGAGATGTTTGACTTTAGTCCAGTTGATCTAAAAATTGAAATGGGTGGTTATGTAATTAGTAGGTTATATTAAACCTATATAGATCTCTAACATTAGATATTTCATGAAGGATTCTACTGAGGAGTTACTCTCTTTTTCAAGTGGACAACAGGACTTTAAATCTGATTTGTACTGTAATGTTGTCAGGGAGTATATTAACATCTGAGAAGTGTTAGAATAACCAAAAAAATATTTAATGTCCTGTTAACCAGAGTCTATCAAGACTTGAAGAGTTGTGTTGGAAAATTGCAAGAATAGCAGGCTACAAATACTGTTAAAAAGGGGAGCAGGTTTCAATTTGATGTGCGTCATCAGATTTAGCTTTTTCATCTAGAAAGTTAAGCATGTAAACATCTCTTTAGTATGTGTCCTCCAATTAAGCCATTCCACATTTTTTCTACACTCTTCCTTTTTTTTTTTACCCTGTTCTCCTTCTATCTCATCTGAACCCCAGCCACTCCTTTGCAAATTAAAGTTCATGCAGCCTGAAGTCTGCAGTCTGGTTCCTCCTTAGCCCCATTAATGGGGGTGTGCCAGACTTTCTGTCAAAGGATTTCACTGTCTTTTTGTATATTTCCCCGTTAGTATTCTGCAGTGTTTTCCTTTGGCTTCCTTGCCATGCCCTCAGAAAAGCTGTAAGCTATCTTTAGCTGAGTGCAATATTGCTCAGCTTTATGAAGAGGGAAGCCAGCCACAAAATTACTTTTTTGGGGTAGATTCTGTACAGCCCTGCTGGTTACACATGAGACAGTCCACTCACACTCCAGTGTACCTCTGACATTAATTACTGCTGCATCTGTAACCACCACTCCCTTTTTGTGTCCCCACCCTCATCTCCAACAAGTTTACTTTGCCATTACCTCATGGCAAACAACTGTGCACTGAAATTTGATGATTCTAACCCAAAAGACATGTACAGACACCACATTATGCTACTGAATTGTTCTTGGGGTTTTTTTGTTGTTTTTTTTTTTGTCACATAACCTAGGAAATTGGACATAAATGAATCTTTAACAATTTCTGTCATAAAGAATAATTATATGAAAGTAGGACATTTAAGAAATAAAGTTAACTCTGCATTATAATAATGAGCAGAGTCACATATTTTTCATACATTGCTCCTTCTGCTCTTCCCTACCCACCCAGCTTCTCCAGGTAGAAACACATTCCATGTACATCAGCTGGGAAGTTACTTTTTCATTGCAGGTATTTGGAAGCCTGTCAAGAACCACAGAATCTCATGTTTGAGGGACCTCAAGCATCATCAAGTCCAGCCAGAAATGATCATTAGCACGAAAAGGATAGATGGTGCATGGTGACAGCGTTGTGTGTTATCCAGGGCAGTGCGTTCTCAGTCCCAGTGTGTTCTTATCCAGTAGCAGATGGACTACTTACATCAGTTTTTACATTTCTTACTTATAAGAGGTTGCTTTTTTCCTAGGTTTTTTTTACCACTTGCAGTGTACTTTTTAGCAGTTTTGAACACAAATCTGAGCAATCAAACCTGCAGCTAGTGTCAATTGGAGTTACATCTTTAACATACCAAAATGTTTTTATATGTATTTTGAAAAATCGTATCCTTCATATTTCAAATTGATCATCCAAAATGAGTCATTATTTTTGCTGTTAATTTTCTCTGGGCTTAAATTTTTCATCTCTAAAGTCCTATCAGTAAAAATAGTGTTGTGAGATCAGTTCATTAATGTTAATTCTTTACATCATTGCCGTTCTCATGAGTGCTATGGAAAAGTTAATGTGAAAATCAATCACTTAGTTCCAAGACTAAAGTTTTAGTAGTGTTCTATAAATATGTCTTAGGCCAGCACAAGGAAAAATTATTTTTAAAAATGCATGAGAAGGACAATGATTAACCAAGGAGTGGCCTTTTTGCATTGTAATGGAGACAGAATTCTTGGAAAACAGAATTAATCATGTAGCTGAAAATTTCACTTTTGTGCATATCAACAGCAAGGCTTAATTCTGGCAATCTCCTAAAACTGGAATTAAACAAAGTTTAATTTAAATACTTGCATTTTGCAAGCTTTGTAATGTTTCCTGAATTTAGTCTTACAGGTACAGAGCAGTCAGCAGCAATAATTATATATAGTTTTAGTCAAAATTCATGATAGTGCTTGTCAGATTTTTAGTCAATTTCTTAGTATAACTGGCAGAGTACCTAAGAAGTCCTCTGCAGCTGAGCAACCCAGAAAAAATCCTAAAAACTGAGTTTATAATCCAAGATTCTTAGACAGTGTAAGACATAGAAATACAAAATATTTTAAAAGGCAGATATTTTATACATTAAGGTAAATGTACATTATCTCATTTTTGTCAAACTTTCAACAGTGAAAGATCCTTCCTTTGGCTTTTTTGTATAATATGAGTCTAGAGCTCTGTAGTTAGATGCAGCACCAAGGTCAATGAGCTCTTGCCCCTTTCGTACTTAAAATCTGAGTTATAACCATGTAAAAAAAATGTGGTTTTTTCACTCTAAGAATTTCTCATTTGAGTTTCCTGGGGTTTGCATTTGTGTTTTGAGTTTGTTAATTTGTTTGTTCTTTCATTTTTATGCAGGGATTTGTTCTGCCTTAAAGTTGACAGTACCATCTCATACCATCCATGGTATTGAGGGGCAACCACTTCATCTTTCTGTTGACTACAATTTCAGTGCTACAGCTTCTGAAATCCAGATAATTTGGCTTTTTGAGAGGTCTCAAAGTAATCCAAAATACTTGCTTGGCTCTGTAAATCAAAGAGTAGTTCCAGACTTGGAATACCAGCACAAGTTTACCCTTATGCCACCAAATGCATCTTTGAGGATTAACCCATTGCATCTCAGTGATGAGGGCAATTACATTGTAAAAGTAAATGTCCGTGGAAATGGGACCATAACTGCAAGTCAAAAGATTCAAGTAGCTGTTGATGGTAAGTAAGTAAAAGATAGTATCTTCATTTTGAAAATAGAATTACAATAGTTTTGAAGTCCTGGTTCTTAGTATCCTTTTACAGTGGTGTCTCATTTAATGCAACCATACATGAATAAATGCAAACAACTAAGTTATGTTTTTTCTACTGCTGCTGGAGGGAGTACTAAAATATGTAATCTTTAAAGAAAATTAATATATTGATTGGTGTTTCTATATCATAAATACTGAAGAGGCATAGAAACATTTAATATTATATTAGACATTTGACAAAAAATAAGATTTCATAAGTTTCTGCTGTGCTGTCATGAGGATGCATTGAATTTCAAATAGGCTTTTTCCCTGAATAACTTTATCTCCTGTAGCAAAGAGGAGCCATTTAACTCCCAAGCCCATCCCAATCTGCAGACATCCTCATGACAGGTTGCCCAGATTTCAGTGGTGCCCAGTGTGGGCAAAGCTGTGGGCAGTCATGCTGAGAGGTCACACACAGTGGGCAGTGTCATGCTTTGTGCTCTTTTCTTTTCTGTGATTTGTATATGAGGCAAGAGGCCATGGTACACATGACTGCTGCCTTTATCCTAATACCAGTAATATAAGCAGTCTGGTTTTATTTATGTCCCATAACAATTTTTACAGTCACCACCTGAGAATATGGCCTTCTTTTTTAACCTTTAAGTGCATTTAAGAGAAAAAATTTGAAATATTAGTAATTTCCAGAAAGAATGATGATTTGAATCATCTTGGCCATGAAGACTGTAATAGAATGGCTTGTCACTTTAACAACTCTTCATATCTCTTTATTTTACAGTTCCAGTCACAAAGCCAACTGTACACACTGAACCATCTTCAGGAGTAGTGGAATATGTAGGGAATATTACCCTAAAATGTACTGTGGATAGAGGTACAAGGGTAGCTTACCAGTGGATGAAAAATGGGAAGCGTCTTCATGCTGGCCCTAATTATATCTTTTCATCAAACAATGCTACACTTCTAATTGTTCCTGCAGTAAAAGAAGATATTGGGAATTACAGCTGTCTGGTATCTAATCCTGTCAGTGCAATGGAAAGTGAGATAATTGCACCAACCATATATTGTGAGTATATGAAATATTCATTATTATCTTTGTATGAATTATTTTGCTGGAAGGAGTGCCTCCAAATATGAAAACAGGCAGAAAACAGTGGAGTCAACATTGTATGTGAGCTTGCATTAAAAATGAGCTTGTTTGTAATAGCTCTAACTTAAGACAGGATAATAAAATTGTTCAGTGTTGTGTAGTTCTGAAGAGCAGTCTCAACTGCAGAATTCAAATAGAAACTTCAAAATTTCCACAGATATCTTCAGATGTGACTCAAAGGAAAGAATAATGAGATCATTATACATGAAAATGTTGTTATAAATGAAGACACAAATAGTATCAAAAAGCTAAGCACCAGGAAGTACCAGGCTGAACAACTCATCGTAGTGGGTTTCCTCAAGATCGTTTGAAGTCCAGTCCTTTTTAATACTTCCATTAATGACACCAGAAAGAAGATAGGGAGTACCTCAATGAAGTTCATTCATTACATTAAACAGGAGGATTGAATGACTTTGACAGAGTAATAGAGCTGAGATGAGATTTGCCAGTAAAAAAAGTAAATGGGCATGCCCTTTCAGAGAACAAAAAACATGAACTTCTGCTGATAAGATCAAGATTTATTAGAAAAGGCAGTGACCCTAGGGTGATTGAGCTATCACAAGATATCTATGAACTGACAGCATACTTCAGGCATGAGAAAGACATATTAATTCTAGGGGAGTGGGAAATGGATTTCCAACAAGGAAACAAGGGGAATACCAATGGCACACAGAAGATAACATGTGCAATACTTCATGCAGTCCCTGCAGATCCCAGAATGCTGATTTTGAACTGGAAAGAAAGAAAGACAGAATGAAGAAGAGACCCAAAGACCTCAGTCAGGCTTGGCAAAATTAGAGCTGAAAGTTATTGCATTCCACATCAAACGGGAAACATGAGGGAGCAAGAAGAGTTGCATAAAGACCATTTTTGACAGAAGAATAAACCATAAGGTGGCCAGATATTTTGACTGGAAATGAAGGCACCTGAGAAACTGATTGAGTTGGAGGAAACAAAAGATTGATTTAATCACCATCAACAATTATACAATAAATCTTAGAGCCTTCTCATTTTGGTCCATGTCAGGAATTCCCAGTGCCTCCTCAGTTTTCAAGTAGCACATGCTACACATATATCACCTGCTATGCTCTAATCCTCCTGTCCTCAGGGGTCTAATTATCCTTCTCAGAGGAAAGCTGAAATTTGAAAAGCCAGGACCTACTTTGCTACCAGTCCTATTCAGATATAGCCAGTTTATCCAGTGGCCTGATATGGAAGGGAACACTGCAAGGACTGGAACTGAATTCCTGTCAGCCAAGGGCTGGTGCTCATTCCTGCTTTCCCCAGGCTCTGGCAGCTGGTAGGCAGCCCATGCTCAACTTGTTATTTTTGCACTACCAACATATTCAGGACCTACATCTCTTATGTCTCTACCTCCTATATTTCCTCCTCCTTTCATCTCCTTTCATTTCTGATTGTCTATTCTGCTAGTTGTTCAGAGATTTTTATTATAACTTGGAAGAATTCATTGGATAAGGGGATGACTTGCATCTAAAGTATTGGGGGAGGGTCTCTACACTGCAGCAGGAGAAGAGAAAAAGACTGCCTCAATTAGCAAAGATTAATAAAGACATTGTTAAATATAAGCTGATATAAGCTTATGTGTAGCTTGTAAAATTGACAGCAGTGCAGACTTGAAGATAAAGAAGCAATTGCAGAGTTCTAAGCGGGGCAAATATTAATTGAGCTTCCATCTCATTAGACAGAGGAATCATTATAAACAAGGAAATAACCAGCACTGATAGAGCTTTAACTTATCATTACTGTAATTTAAAAAAAAAAAATCAATCACATTCTTTCCTCAAGGTAGCGCATTTTTATATGCCTGTCACAATCTCAGCTCACTTATGTGCTTGAAGTGCTAAGAATGAGACCTGAAGGTATATGAATGCAGCTCCTCTACTGCGTTTCTCACTTTAATGAGTTGTGAATTGGCCTTGTACAAGTCTGTCTTCAAAGAATACCTACAGAACTTGGGACACTGTATCCAGCCTGACACCCCTTCCCATGCAATGAAGTCGGGTCAGGCTAGAAAAACATCTGCCACCCTTGCTACCTTTCAGACATCTCTGGTTGTTGCACAGCCATGTGAGATTTGAATTTCTGACCTGTTATTTCAAAAACACCTTGCTACCTTTCAGACATCTCTGTTTGTTGCACAGCCATGTGAGATTTGAATTTCTGACCTGTTACACATGGGTTTGTCTCCAAAGCACTGATGGCACTCAGGTGTCTGGGATGTCCCAGGTGTCTGGGACACTTGCTCTGACAACATGTGTGCCCTTCAGTCCCAGCTCTGCTACTGCTTCCCCCCTTCTACCCCACTCAACTACATGCATTTTTCAGTAAATTTGAAAAATATTTCTAAGTTCTAAACTAGAAACCTGTTTTTGACCAACTGTTTACCAGAATTTTAAAATCTCAAAGTTACTTAAGTGTTCACATTTCTTGAATCTTTTGCTGTTTAAATGGTTGTGATATACAGCTTTATCAAAAATTGAGATCCACTTTTTCTCCATGTGGATAAATATTATTGTATATGCATTTTATGAATGTCCTTCATCAGAACTGAGGGTTTGCTTTGTGTATAATACAAAATCTGAAAAAAGGTATTAAGAGCAAACAACAACTGCTGAAAGACTGCAAATACCTGTGGTATTCTCTATATCCAAGTCAGTGATGAGAGTTGGGGTCTTACTTCCTGAGCTATATGAAGTCACCTAATTTGGTTCAGCCTCTGCCTGCAGAAATACTTTGTTTCCTAGCTCCCAGTTGTCAATAACAATCCAGGCCAGGCCCCGGGATCTCTCTCTGCCATATGTCATTGCTGTGGGGGAGTTACTGGAGGTGATAAAGAAAAGGTCGCTCACGGTAAATACCTGCCATCTGCTTGGAAACTGTAACAGTCTCGTAGTGATGGGAGCAATTGGAAATATTCCCATGGAGCAGTAAATTGTTACCCAGAAAGATTGATTTATTATTTTACACATCATTTAGTTAACGGGTTTTACTGAGACAAGAGGCAGTCTTCTGTAGAGAACAATACTGGAAAGGGAAAATAGAGCTGAGGGATCCATGAAGGCTGTCATTGTGAGTTGTTACTGAGTATGAAAAGTGGTTTTTAATTCATGTCTTATTAATATTATCCTGCTTCTCCATTAATTATTATGCTAATGCAGCCTGGAATATGGCTATTGCAGTTGTGTGACTCAGAAACAAATTATTTCAAGACTGGAAGAAGCTGCTGTCCTGTAGGCTGCAACAGACACTGTTGTACTTATTCAGCAGACTAAGTGGGCTTTTCTTCCTCAAGTCTTCAAAAGATAGAATATACTTAGTTCCAATGAGAAAATGGTTAATTGCCTACTTTTCAGAATCACCCTTGAGGCTGTGTATAACTGTCAGTTACCCGTTGTTTAGGGACCTTGATGTACACTATGCCGGGAGAGGCAAAATACTACTCCAGGCAAAGCAGAAGGGTTAACCAATCCTTGTGTTGACTTCAGCAGGAGTGCCACTTTTCCAATTTTGCCAAGATTTGGCTATTTCTTAAGATAAGCCCTCTGGTTTTATCCAACTTACTTCCCCAGCCAGTGTATGTTAGTGTTTGTATAATGATTTCTTTCAACTTGCAGCTTCCATCAAAATATAGTTTTCAGTGTTATCTCTTTATGCTGCACAGTTCTGATGCTGATAGAAAAGCAGAACTCAGTTCTGATTCTTTTGCAGGCTGTGGCAAATCACCCACTACAGTGGAGCATGGAAACCAGTCAGCTATTCTTACCAATAATTTCTGTTAACACATATCAAAGTCATATTACCTGTAAAAATAAAAGCTAATTCTCCTTAGAAGGAAGAACCACTGAATTGCTCTGAAAAGTGAAAAAAATATGTTCCTGCATATACATAGTTTGTAAGGGGCTTTAATTCATTTAGGAAAAATGTCAAAGGCCAGTACATCCCTTCTTCTTTCAGATCTGAAAACAGGGGAAGTAAAGACCTATAAGAGGTGAGCCCCTGTGAAAAGTTCCCCTTTCACAGAAACATGCAGCCCAAGTGAGGCTAGCCAAGCCAAAACATAAAAAAGGCAAACAGTAAATAGAAGTGTATATTAGAGAGTGTTCTAACATGGTCCTGAATTTCCTGGTGGGATATAAAGTCTGAAATATACAAATGTACAGTTTCATGTAGCAGGGATTTTCCCCTTCACACCCAGCTACATTATCTTAATTCTTCCAGACAACCACAGAAAGGTGGAAATATTGTTAGATTCCACTGTCTGGAGTGGGCACAGCACTGTGCCTGTTTTGTGCTACACCATTCTGTATGAGGCAGCTTTACTGATCTTCAGGGATCCTACCAAAAGGACACTCTGCATATTTTCTACTTTTGCTCTGTCATATTAGGTCTGTGCATTTTTGATTATTCATGCAAGTCTTCAGGTAATTAACAACATTAAAATGATTAGGGGTTTTTTGGTTTTGGGGTTTTTGGTTTGTTTTTTTTTTTTTTAACTAGAAAAGTTATTTAATAAGGCACACTTCAATTTTTATATTCTCTATGTAAATTTCTATACTTAAATAACTGTAACAATACTTTTAACATGTAAAGATATAAAAGCCCCAATGATCTGAAATGTTCTAGTAAAACCAGCATGAGAAATATTCTTATAATATTTAAGTATATTGTTTCCCTTCTCATTTTCCTGTGCAGGTTGCACCAAAAATACTCATCTGCTCAATTTTTTGAGTAATGAACACATGACTATAGAACAACATATGCTTCTTCTAATTATATTCAGAAAAACAACCTTCAGCACAAGAACTTGCTTTTGAAAAAAGCGTAATTACAGTAGTAATTATTTAAGTATTTCAGATTTTTAATAATTGAAAGTATTATTTAGTAATACAAATCCACTAAAATAGGGGAAAATTTCAAACTTATTCTAGTAGTCATTTATGGAAAAATTTTTCTGAATTCATCTAAGGCACACCCCACTCAATATTATACCTGTAAGTTAGTTCCCTGAATAATTTTTATATTGTAAATTATTGCAGTGAAGATAACGTTATGAGGCCAATTTGTTCACTTTTAAATTTGTAGGGAAATTACTTATGCCAGTAAGTTTGGCATTGAAATAGAAATCAAGTATGCCTCTGAAGAAGACATGCTCCTTTACTTCATAGAAATCAAAAAGATTTCAGTTTTTATTCTTTTTATCATATTGAGAAATACATAGACCCATGCTTTTTCTTTAAACAGCAATTAGACCAGTATTAAGTGGGTGTAGCCTGAGCTAAGCCTAGCACAGATCCAGTTATTGAGCTGAAAGCCTTTTCACTGAAATGACTGAATGCCAGCCATTCTAAAGGATAGTCTAACTTAAATATTCTGACTTTAGATATACACTTCTGATTAATTTTTAATTATATACTTTGATTTTCATTTTCTCACTGTATTTCCCTTTTTTCCCCAATGCAGATGGACCTTATGGACTTAGAGTCAAATCAGACAAAGGTCTGAACATAGGGGCAGTGTTTACAGTGGATGTGGGGGAAGTTGTACTGTTTGACTGCTCAGCAGATTCAAATCCACCAAATACTTATTCATGGATTCAAAGGGATGACAATAGCACTCAAGTAATCAAATATGGACCCCATCTGGAAGTTGTATCTGATAAAGTGTCCCAGAAGACAATGGATTACATGTGCTGTGCTTTCAACAATGTGACTGGAAAACAAGATGAAACTCACTTCACAGTTGTGGTTATGTCTGTAGGTAAGAAAGTAGCATTATTGTTGTAAAGTGTAACATCTACATGGATGCCTCAGAAAAAGGAAGTCATTCTCAGAATATGTATTGAAATTTAGGTCTTGCTAAGAATATAGTAAAGGGGCTTTTGGATATTCTGTGGGATACAGGTTTTACTTGCTGTATGACAGCTTGGAACACAACCCACCAAGACACTGAAGTTTTGTGTGATTTTATTACAATTTTCATGTAAATTATTTCCCTGTCATATTTATGAATCTCTGTATTGGTTGGTGGGTTCTGAAGAACACATACCTTCATTGCTCCTACAGTATAACCTCAGCTCCTACAGTATAACCTCAGCTCCTGCATGATTGTGTTTAATAGCAACAAAGCAGTTTTTCAGAAAATCTCCAGAAGCATAGAGCAAAGAACAAGATATCAATGAAGTCTGATGTCTCTTCTCAATGCAGATGGGTACAAGTATTTCTAGATAAGGAATATATGCTATTAATGTTCAACGAGAATGACTAGATTGCCTGTTAGAAAATCTAAAAAGGCAATTTCACGTAGGCTGAGCAAAGAGCTAACAAATTTGTTAGTCTGGTAAACAAGAAGATATGTCCACGATTCAGGCTACTTACTGATTCATCATGAATCCAGGGCTTTCAGTATGCTGGGAAGAATATGGATTGCAATTTCATAGTAAGAATATTGCACTCAAAAACTAAATATTGTGGTTACTAGTGAAAGAAAATGCAACCAGAACTATGTGTTTATAGAAATAAACATGACCTTTCTCCAGGAAGTTCATGTAAAATATTATATTCAACTGGGATTTCCTTTGAAAGGCCAAAAAGGAGGGAAGACTCCACAGCTTCGTAGTTGGTTTCACTTAAAATAATAGATTTCCTAATTACAAATATTTTACTTACGTCTTATTAAAACATTTTATCCTGTGTATTTAAAAATAGAAAAATATATTTTCTCCCCTCTGGAGCCATATTCTTTTTGATGAGTGTTTATTCAAATAGCACTAAATGGAGATGTCAAGGCTACACTTTGCAGAGCAGCACTGACTGTTTCTAAGAGGTATAAATTCACACACAATTCATTCTCAGCAATGCTGCTCAGGCTAAATTCTCACTGCAGGTGAATAAACATACTAAGCAAAGACTATGAAAATTGTACATATTCCTTTTCCTTACTCCTATAATCCTAGATACTGAGGATAGACTATGGCATTCAAAATACTGCAAACCCCATTTGCAGTAGCAACAGGAACTCTGATGTTTCAGAAGACCTTACACAACTTCCCCATGGGACAGAAACTACCTATATGGCGCTATAGACAACTGCCTAATTAATCCTAAAAATTATCTAGAAAACCGTTTTTTATAAAAGTTACAATTATATCAATAGTTGCACTAAGTTGTTACCCATTTTCAGCCAAGATTCTAAGATGAGGTATCTCATGTACACCAGTCATTGGTCAGTTCTCAAGGTTAGTCAGTTTGAATATGTTGAATGCATGCAAAGAGCATGTCTTTGTTTTCTGCACTGATACATCTATGGAAATGTGATTTATTGAGTCTACATTTGAATTAGTCACTTTAAGGAACAATTTTAAGGACTCATCTGATTCTCCAGCATTTGGGCTTTTTCTTCCTAAGGAAAGCAGTACACTGAAGGACTATTTAAAAAATTTGTGCAGTTGCAGTGATTTATTTTCCCGTATCTTTAAGACACATCTGTCTAGAAATCCTCATATTTAATCTTCATGAAAACCACTGCATATGTAGCCAGTGCAATGCCAGTGAATTGCATGGAGCTGTAAGTAGATATAAGCAGGCCTCTGCACAGGAGTTCATTGATTACTGGAAACACATCCAGCTAAATAATACACATTTTAATTGTACTAGTAAATCTGGCACTAGCAAATATGCAACATTAATTTACCTGTATGGATTGTGACTTATCCTTTAATGACATGAATTCTGCAGAATTCAGAGCAAAAGAAGGAAAGAGTGCACAAGCAAATATGTCTGGCATTTCCTAACTTTCACGTTCTTGTTCTTTGCAACATTTTCCATGTGCTTCTGGGTATGTAATTATATGCAATTTGTGTATGTGTTGTATCAGAAAATCCTGCTGGAAAAGTCCTGCTAATGCATATCCCAGCAAAAGACTCGAACAAAGGAAAGAAATATTTTGAATATATTTAGATATGAATACAAACAACGTGGTGGGGTTCCATCCTTGGAGGTGTTTAAGGAAAGACTGGGCATAGAACTTAGTGCCATGTTGATCTTTGGTCACAGGTTATACTTAATGGTCTTAGAGGTCTTCTCCAGCCTAACTGACTCTGTGATTCTGTGAAGATGTATTAGTTTCAGATGTGGTTTGATAAATAACCAGACTGTCAGTCAGTTATTTATCAGTTATCTAAAAATCTTTACAAAAAGTCAAATTGATGTTTTGTCTTCTCCTGCTTTATATCCCAACTACTAGGAGGATTTCCCTCCAATCTAGCACAAGTTGCTCTCTCATCCTCTTTTTTGGTAGTTCAGAGTCTCTATACCACAAGTTATAATATGCATTTTCTTTTTTTGATGCTCTAATTTGTGGCTTACATTTACTAAATTCCATTTAGCTCTAGGCACTAATCTGCTTTGAAGTCTTTTCTGATATGCATATCATTGCTTTTTCAGTTCGGGATATCTGTGGGGAAAAATAAATGTTACCCATTCAGACGACCCAAATTTTGCATCTGTTTTGTATCTCTGTGCAGGTTTACTGGTTTCAGAATAATTTTTAAAGATGCATTTTTCAGTATTACTGTAGCACATTGTAAAGAACAAGGAACTAAATACAGTACTCATCTTCTTTGTCACAGGGTTGGAAAAGCTGGCCCAGAAAGGAAAATCTTTGTCTTCTCTTGCAGTAATAACAGGAATTTCATTATTTTTGATCCTAGCTATGGCCTTTTTATTCCTATGGAAAATATATCAGCCTCATAAAGGTAAGTAAAAGTTAAACACAGTCCAGCTCTTCTTTTGGACCCTTGGAGCAAAAAGAATAATTTTTTTTTCCTTCTTTTCAGTGATACAACAGAAGCTACAGAGCAGGTAGAAAAACAATTCATCTTACATCTAAAAGTACTTTCCATCCAGAGAATTGCATTTTATCATATTAATTTTCTTTCCTTGGCTTATGGCGTCAAACTGAGAAATATGTTTATGTTTTCTAGGGCAGAGGCTGATTACAGAAAGGCACAGGCATTTTCAGGTAATGCTAATGAAATAAGTGTTAGCATAAGGTCAAAATCCATTCCTGAAAAAGAAAAATAGCATCACAAAATACAGGAAAAAAATAAAAGGAAAGTAAGAAAGGTGTGTTTTTATGTTGGGTTGCACACCTCTATGATAGCTTAATTAAGATAAGACCTAAATAAGAAGTCAGCATGTGTTTAGCTCATGTCTGGAGCTCATAGCAGTATGTACTGTTGTCTTGAATTCTACCTATTAATCCCAGTATTTTGGGATTGGAATACCTGTATTCCACTGTTGTGACCAATATGACTTAAATCAGTGTTGTTTTGGGACAGCAGTAAGAGGTGATACACCGTGAGAGAATTACAACTGAAAATGTTCATGGCATTAGTTGTTATCAAAATCATGGGTTAATGACATTGCAGTATACATATATACTGCATATATATATATACACACATATATATACATATATATACACATATATAACGTTCTGTCATATTCTGTACTGCCTTTCTCTGTGTTATCAGGCACAGAGTGAGTTCCCGGTGCCCAGAGTGGGTTTTTTTACTGCCTCTTTTCCCTCCACAATACTTCCCAGCTGATCCTGTGCAGGAGATGCTAGAGACCAGCCATCCTTTGGAAGGATATCATTTTTATTCCCATTCCTTTCTGCCAAAGCATCAGAGCAGACCAGAAACTGCTACATGCACAAGTAGAGGGAGGTATATGAAGCTTAGGAAGGTAGGACATTCACCTGAGCACAGAGGGTCCATCAAAGTGATATCAAAGGATAGAAATTCATCATTGCTTTTAGTGCTGCAACCTTTGATGTGGAATGGTGCCCAGGTGACAACCAAGAGCCTCACACCTCCTGGATAGTGGGAGGGTAGACTAACTACACCTAAATACAAGCTGTATCTGAAGTCCCAAATAATAATGTGGCATCTATATGTACCATGTTCCCTTTTATTTTTCTCAGAATTGTAAAACATTCAGGTGATACTGCTTCACTACACTGTGGATGTGTTGAGTTTATTTATTCAGCCTTTTTTTCTATGGGAAATGAAAGTAAATTGGTCATTTTAGCCTTCCAAAATAGAGAGTATGAATGTCTCTATCAAAATTGTTGCTGAGGTTAGCAAGAGGCTCCTCACTTGGTATAAGGCATGGGAAATCACCAGGTACCGTGCACACCATCTCTGTAGCTGTCCTACCTTGCTCCACACCAGTTTAGGAGCTCGGTAGAGAAGTGGTCTAAAGCAGGTCACACAAGCAGTATTCAGGTGTTTTAAAAATTAGGGCAAAATACTTTGCCAGTCATTATTTTCCAGGTCCATATTACATCTCTTTTTAAATCTTTGTTCTAATTTTAGGACATGAAAGTGCTTTGGATGATTTTGGGATATATGAGTTCATCACATTTCCAGATCTTACCAGTGGCTCCAGGGTATGTGATTTTATATCATAAACATCCAATTTCTCTTCTATTTCTCTAGATATACTAAATATCTGTACCAGAATCCTTCTGTAGGTTTGCTTCTGTTGCTTTTTACAGATGTGTGCATGACATCATATTCATGGCTATTGTTCACCCAGTACTTGCTCTTTCTTTCCTGTGTTACTAGTTCATTACTTCGTAATCAACATAGTGAAGTAAGGAAAAACCAAGCTCTAAAGACAGCAATCTCCATTCAACTACCCTACATTAAAAGAATATTAGTCATGTTGGGTAGTTGAGTAGCACTGAGCTACTTGTGTCACACAGGCAAGCCTACTATTGCTTGATGCCATTTTCTCCCTTGACCCTAATATTTCTGCTCATGCAACATTCAGCCCTGGCAGTGCAGAAAAGTCTCAGAGGTTATTTAAAGTGTAAATAAAAGGAAAGTCTCAGCTGTATGTCACAAAAAGTATTTGGTTGGTTTTGTGCATTGTAGGGTAGGAGTTAAGCATAGGAATTTTGCTAGCAGAAAAGAAATCCTGCAACATTTACTGCTTCCTTGCATTGTCTTTGCTGACATTACTGCATAGCAGCTGGAGACCATGCTGATATGACGTAAAAGGACAAAAAAAAAAAGATTAGACAGGGCCACAAAATTTAGGGACAATGGTAAACCTGAGAGGAAAGAAAATAAAGATTTGCCTTTGCTAGGGAAAGTTGCCAGCAATGTAATCTTGTAACTTTGGAGAGCATCAGTCTGGTCAGGTAAGGGAGAGCTATTAAAGCATGGTCACAGGGTCACATTGTCATAACCTAATTTGTTCTTATGATTAGTACTCATAATACATGATGTCAAAAAACAGTCATAGATTAATTTATCTTCTCTGATGGAGTTAGATGTTTGAAATACACATTTATAGTGCTAAAGTGCTACTGCAAATGTTAGTGGAGAGGACAGACTTTTACAGCAGCAGAGATAAAAGACTTTTAGAAAACAGAGCAGCTGAACTGCTTCTTTTACAGTTTGTGCCAGTAAGAGCCTTGTTAAGTTTAAAGATAGGGCCCTAGATCATTACAGCCTTAAGCTTACTTAAGCTTACTATGATATTGTACGAAAGAGGATATATTTATATTAAATAAATTCTTTCCTTGTGAGGATGGCGAGGCAAGTGCAAGTTGCCTCAGTTGCAGATGCCCCATCACTGGAAGTGCTCAGAGTCAGACTGGACTGTGAGCAACCTGCTCTAGTGAAAGATGTCCCTGACTATGGCAGAGGGGTTGGAACTGGATGATCTTCCAACCCAAACCTTCTATATCCCTTAAGCTGATCATATCACAATATCACAATCTTGCAGGATCAGGGCCTTAGTAGGTCAGGAGGGATAAAGCAGTGACGAGAATGACAGGATGGATGTACAAGCAATGAAATCTACTATAATTTCCAGTAAATTTTCAAGGAACAGGAGAAACTCCACTCGTTTATGTTCAGCTACTCAAATGTATAGCATTGCAGGTAAAGTCGGCATTTGATCCACTGATTCATTGTAGTCAGCAGAGAAAGGGGAAAATAAGAAAGTGGAGATAACAAAGAATTAGAGGTTGGGTATAGGCAGAAAGACTGGTAATTCCTTATGGATGTAGAGTCTAGGTAAATCTGTTGTCATGACATAAGAGGAAATTAATACACTTAACATGCTGAACAATCAACATTACTTGATTTATGGAAATTCCATGCATCTCTCTTTCTTTGACAGGCTGGTGGGAATATTATGCTGAACCCATGCACTGAATATTTACTGCTTTTTTACTGTCTGTTCTCCTGCTTTTCTCTTTATTAATTGTTTCTTTCTTGACTTGTGGTACCTTAATATAAAGAATTTGCTGTATTAAATGCAAAAGCTGCATCCTAAATCTTTTAAGGGGCTAAATGAATTTAATACTTGCCTTACTATTAATGTGACAAGAACTTACTCAAAATGAAATCTAAACTAGCAGAGATTATGCATTCAATCCACAAAAATAGTTTTGATGAAAAGTTTAAAAAATAACAAGTTACATTAACAGTTTAATTTCTGTTGAAACTTTTCATATTTGTACTTACAGTAGGAATACACTTTGTTGGTTTTAGGTTTCAAGCCACTCTGTTCCTGGCCCTGACTTTGTCGCAGGCCAGGATATGCTAAGTACGGTTTATGAAGTTATTCAGCACATTCCTGAGCAGCCAGAGCAAGACCACCAACAGTAAGTTACAGACTGTGTTCACTCACATGGTAGCTTGAAGACAAATACTTTTCATCCAGAACAATTTGCCTTTTTTGATTCCACTGAGAGGATTATGCAAGGAAAGATAAAAGCTATCTCAATTCCTCCACCATTTCCTATCCAATCCCCTACTTTTCCTCAAGGCTGCAGTCTGTTGTTTCATTACATCAGTTTTGTTAAAGTGTAAAAAACAAAAGGTGAGATCTTCAAACTCAGCTTCAAATTAAAATTCCCACTTAATTTAATAGGGCACTGAAACATCAGCACTTCCTACTGAATAGGTTAAATATTCAATCCAAGCAGTTTAATTGGTAGCACGGCCTCCAGACCACTCAGCCATGTGCCAAGTAGAGTTAGAGTCGGGGTTTTTACAATGTTGAAACTGGTCGGTTGAATAATAATCAGTGGTTGTTAAAATAGTCACTGAAATACTAACAGAGTACTACTTAAGAAAGCAGTGTCTCTAGAGCAAAAGAATTCTTGTTGTGTGGTACCCTGGCTGGGAACTCCACAGAAACACTTTTGCTGTGCTCAATACCAGGAAGGCCACAGAAAGGAAGGCAGCGTTGTGCTTATGTCTTGTAGACCTGGTTATGTTCAAATCACCTCCTGTATCTCACTTCCTAGCATAAGAAGGGTGAATACACTAAAGTTTTTGTAATTGTGGTATGGCTACCTTAAATCTATTGTGAATATAGTCTTTCTTACAAATTAAGAACAGCACACAAGACTTTATTTGGTAACAAGTGTATTATATCTCATTTTCCATGGTTTTTTAATGTGTTTGGTTTCTTATATAGTTGAAAAGAAAAACACACACCCTTAACAATATGCTAATCAGTTGGCTGAGTAATCACAATGTTTATGTGACTGTATTAGCATGCAGTACTTACACTACAAAAAATGTCATTATATCTTAGTTTATGTCTTCAACTGTGTGTCCAAGTTATGTATGTAAACATGCAGCCATGCTTGTCAAAACAAGCTGGTCAGTGAGAAAGCAACACTGAATTGCTAATGATGTTTTTGTTCTGCTCAGAATTTTTCACTTTGAACCTTAAGATTTTTAAAGCCAGATGTAAAAAATACCATTCATAAAGTACTTATTTTCTTACTCTTCCTCTTATATGTCTTCCTTCTCAACTTTCTCACTGATACATGACCCCTCTGAAAAAAAGCAATAAATACAACAAAAAGGTAACTTGAACTCTGTAGCAGTTCAGATTTCAACTTCAACTTTGCAAAACATATTCTGTAGTTGTAAAGGACTCTTTTGCATAAACCAATTTTGCTGCTCTTTTCATATTTTATATTTTGAAAAGGAAACAGGAAAAAATTTTCACTAATAGCACAAAAACGGCTAAGCATGATACTGGGCAAACTACTCAGATTAGAAAGACCACATTCATGAATTTTCCAATTCCTGACCTGCTGAGAAGGAGCACTCTGAGTGATAAATAAATAAGGATGACTAATACTGGTGCTTACAGCAGGATGCTTCCATTTCAGTATAAGGAAGAAACAAAACACCACAGAACAGAGAATGAAGCTGGGAAAGTGATTGCAAACTCCTGTAGAGCAAAGTAATGATTACTTGTGGTTGAATCCCACAGACTCAGTATGCAGTCATCTGTAGAGCAATGAGCAATATTCACAGGAAAAATGATACAAAACTTGCCTGCACTCTGTGGCAGGAATCTCTCTTTGTACAAAGCAAAAGAACAGATATTACGGGAGCCAAACAAATTTGTTAGTTAAGTGATCATTTTATTCTTATTCCCAGTTCTTCTAAATGGAACTGCTGTGATTTCACAAATTTATTAAAATAAATATGTAAAGAAAAATCAGTCAAAAGCAATGCTTAATTCTCAGATTTACAGTTTGAGAATCTTTCAAATCCTGTCTTTGAATGTATCTTCACCAGAATTAGCTGGTGTTCTCTCTCTTGCTCTCAGAAATCCCAGTGACAGTACCAGCAGATTTGCAGACTAGCCAGTGCCTAACACCTGGCATAGCTGGTATAGCTTTTTCCACTTTTCAGCATGTTTTTATCAGCCTTTTTATCCTTTCATCCACACATGCACATACACCTTTGACAATCTAAACAATTACAAAATGTTTATGTGCCCCAGCTCTTAAAAGGTAGAAAGACTACTGAAAATAATTAAATTCTTTAAATTTCTTGGGTTTGGACTGACAGGCTTATAACTTAATTGCAGTCAAAACATAAGGTGAGATGATAGCTGGCTTTGCACTTTGACATTCATATGCTTCCAATAGTTGCTTTTCACAGCAGTCTTTTGCAGACTCGCCTCTTCTGCACTTCCAAAGAATCAAACGGAAAACACAAATTCAGATTTTGAGGCAACTGTTCTGCTCCATCTCTGGGATCCACAGTTACAGGCAGTTACAGGATTGTCACATACTCCAGTATTTCATTAAACAAATTCTTCTAAGCCATTTTGGTTTGATTATTTTCCCACCCTTGGACTTTTTTTTAACTAAATATAAATTCTCTGACAAACTGAACAGGAAGGTTCTTCCATGTATGGGAGAAATCCAATGATGTCTGTCAAAGCTAATGAGCGAGAGGTTTAGTCAGCTTTTACAGATAAATATGGACAGTTCATAACTGTTCCACTAAAAACTGTTTGTAACTTAGGTTTCATTTTCACTCCAAATGAAGATAATCTTGCATCACCTTCCTCTCCTCTCATCCATACTGTTTCTCTCATATCAGTAGTTAACCATTTCACAGATTTCTGCTCTGCCAGCTGTTAAAGCAGAAAGGGTACAAAGCCCTGCCAGGCATTTCCGCAGAGGGTTGTACTGTGGACAGCACTGTCTCAGTCCATGGCTACCACCACCCTTTAGCAGGTACATTATTGTTATACAATATGAACAGCTATATACATCACCATATTGTATGATATTGTATCATACAATATGATACAGAAATATCTGTACAGAAAGAGCAGCAATGCAGGATGCCATACTAGCCGTTATGTTATTTATGGCTCAAACCTGTGCTGTCTTTTAAAAACTAGACACACTATGCATACTAAAAATTCAGTCAAAAATTAGTGTTGCACAGATCTTATTCAGGCTGAAGAATTGTGTTTAGAACTTCTGTTTTGCTTACATGTTTGCAACAGTTCTTTTAAAGAAAAAAAAACAGCATTGTGGACAAGTGTTAGATGTATCTATGTGTATGTTCTTTCCTAGATGTATATGAAGATACAGGAAGAGGAAATCAAAGCATCTGAAAATGACAAAGTTACTTCTTCTTTATAATGTATTGAAGGAAATGCCAACAACTTCAAGTGTAGCAAAGGCTTATGCCATCTTGTCTTGAAATAGCAATTTTTCTTCAGACTGAAAAACTCTTCTCTTGGAGTGGTCCAAATTGCCCATTTTTTAATTTTTTCTTTCTTTTTTTAAGTAATAATTCCTCAGAAAATAGGGATATTTAAATTCTTTTTTTTTCCTTATCAGTGAATACAAAAGACAAAGGGCTATCTTAAAAATGCACTATAAAACCTACAACTTTTTTTAAAAACAATCAGCAGAAGCACAAGAAGGAACCAGGCCCAAGATGCCATCCATGCTTGTTTTATTTTAAAAATAGCAAAAAAATATCAAACAGAAGGGTTTTCTTATTTGGGTTGACTTTCACAACAGAAGACCTCCATACTGGAATGGAAAGTAATAAATGCAGTATGTCCGATTGCAAAATACATTTGGGGTTAAGAATAAAGTAATTCTTTTAATTCATTTAATGTAACATAATTTTCAAGCATAGAAATGGATTTGTCAGGCAGTTACAAAAATGTACATATGTATATTATTCAGAATAATGTGTTCTCATTAAATTCTGTTTCCTTTGCATTTGAAATGGTTTTCTATTTGCTGCTGAAGAGCCTGTTTCTTGTTGACTAGGAGAGTAAGTAATATTCAAGTTATTTCCAAAAGCTGCAGGAAGTTCAGGCTATTTGTACATTAAAATAATTCTCCAGTGCAAATGAAACTGATCTTACTCTGTTTAAACAGTGTGCTACAAGCAAGTCCCTTTGGAAATAGAAGAATACTCTTCCAGAAGTTTCTGTTATCTGGCTGCTGAATCCTGCAGGAAAATTCACTATTATTTCCACAGGGTCAGCTATTAGTTGGTGTCAGTTAATTGCAATCAGGGAAAAGAGGAAATATGAACTGAATTAATCTACAGGGGGAAAAAAGTTACTTCAGGGACAGTTAATTATGCATAAAATCTTATGTGAGTAATGAGAATGCAGACAGTGAGCCCACCCTTTAAGACAGGCTGTATGATATTATTTAAAGCACTCTGTATTAAGAAAAATAATTTACACTTATTTAAAATACCACCCTAATCCATATTTACTAAATATTCTTCCTGTCTCCATCTTTCAAAGATGAGGAAAAAAATAGCATGGTTTTCAGTCAGCACTCATTTCCACAGGGTCAGCTATTAGTTGGTGTCAGTTAATTGCAATCAGGGAAAAGAGGAAATATGAACTGAATTAATCTACAGGGGGAAAAAAGTTACTTTAGGGACAGTTAATTATGCATAAAATCATTACTGTGACTAATGAGAATGCAGACAGTGAGTCCACCCTTTAAGACAGGCTGTATGATATTATTTAAAGCACTCTGTATTAAGAAAAATAATTTACACTTATTTAAAATACCACCCTAATCCATATTTACTAAACATTCTTCCTGTCTCCATCTTTCAAAGATGAGGAAAAAAATAGCATGGTTTTCAGTCAGCATTCTGATCTTGTGAGGCTGAAAAAAAAAGGAATAAAACAACTGCACCACTGCATATGAGGAAAATAAGACTTGGTATTACACAGAGGCAGCATGTGAAGCCCAAATATGCAAGTAGTAGTGACATGATCTCAAAAATAACATAGTCACCAGATTTGCTCCCTAAGAAATAGCCATCTGACATGAAGGCATCAGGCGGAGGCTCTAAGTAGAAACATTTGTGCAGAACTCTGAAAGACTGAGAAGCTTAGAGAGTTCCCCATAAATTCCTCCATTGTTCAGTCAAAACTGACTTCATGTGTGTTTCAAATCAGGACAGCTCTGTGGGATTTGCAAAGCCTGATTTTCACCCTCTTTTCTCCTCCTCTTCTTGCTGGAGCAATAATTTTAATTGCTCTGGAGGGAGTATGCTGATTAGTGAAGTGCTTGAGACCATTCCATCTTACCCTGTTGGATGTCACTGCAGGCCACAGGGCAGGAAATGCAGACAAATTAAGAGAAATTTTCTCCACCTCTGGACCCTCTGTATTTAAAGCTGCCAATTGTTTACATTTTTTAAGCTTTTGTGGGGAAAGAAAAAAATAATTCAGGTCAATATCAGTTCCATTCTACATTCTTTTAAGCTCACTTAAGCCCATGCTTAAGTGCATTTTAAAGGTCCCAAAACATTTTGTTTCAGAATCTGTGCTCATGTCTCAATAACAGGGGAAAACTGTTTTGGATGAAGCCATTTATCAATAATGTGAGATGACTTCAGTAGTCTAATACTTAAGTCCACCTTAACAGTCTTTTGAACTTCTGCAAAGAGCCTGTAAAAATAACTGTAAATTTAATAAAACAATTTTGTTTATGCATCACATAATGCCTAAAAGCTCTGTGGGTATATGCATTTTCACTGGAAAGGACACCTATCATCAGGTTTGTAAATAAGAAACAAAAACCTACCTGTTGCAAGTAGAATGTCCCATAGAGGCCCTATATGCAAGTCGTGGCTGTCCCATTCCTACTCTCCACTTACAACAAAAATTTACAGAAAAAAACCTCAACTGGAAGGGAAATATATTTTACTATAGAAAGAAAAACAATTGCATAAATAATTCTTTTAGTTATGGCAGCAGAACCAGCTCTGCAAATAGGAATATGTTATTGAAACAGACAGAGGGCAAACACAGGCAAGTCATCTTCTGTTTATAATATATTGTTCTCATCTGTTTTTGTTTCATTGTGTCTTGTGTATTACTGACTGTTAACCAAAAATACACTGGCATAAATTCCTATTCAAACTGTGCTCATTCTTTACTGTTGTTCCAGAACTTGCACAGTGTGTTGAGCTACTTATGGTGGGGAAATCCATTTGGTGGAGGTATAAAAACAATAAACTACATGGGAAAAACAATTCTGAAATGTCACAGGAGCTTAATGGATGACAAAGAAAACCTTTGCATAATGTACTCTTGCCTCTTTCTCACTGTTACCACAAATTTCAAGAGATTGATAAGCTTTTATTTATTCATGGAAAATCTATTTCAAATTTTGCCAAAACCAATGGAGTGTGTGTCCATTTAACTTGATGGTGTATACACTGGGCAGTTGAAATATAAGATGGGGATAATGAGAAAGCAGTATGAAATGGGACAGGGAGAAATTTTTAAAATCCTGTCTCATTTTTTTCTTTCATTCCTGTTGGTGGAGGCTTTAGCCATTTCATTTGCCTGCTGATGAGGGTCAAGAATGGCTTTCTTTGATGAAGTGAGGCTGTGGACCTGAGATCAAAGGTAGGGAAGATAAGCCATAACTCTGTAATCTGAAGTGTAGGAGCAGTAACAGCAGTCACAGCAGCTTCAGGCACTTGTACCATATCACAAGGTGGTGTGTAGTACTTAGTCTTTCTTACTACATATCTTAAAAGCAATTCATAAGAACACTGAAGAGTATCAGCTTTCACCACTGCTCGTATGGGAATGCTCCAACTCACACTTCATTATGGCTTTGAAATATTAACCCCTTCTTACAGGCCATCAGGCTATATTCCACACTCCTTTGAAGACTGCAGCAAGATCAAGGAGGGCAGCAGTATCCTTAGCAGCATTAGGACAAGCACTGCTAGCAGGCTGAGGGAGATGACTCTGCCCCTCAGCACTGCTGAAGCCACACCTGGAGTGCTGAGTCCAGTCAGTGCTGGGTTCTCCAGCAGAAGACATGGACACACCAGTGCAATCCAGCAAAGACCCACAATGATGATGAGAATCATCTGATATACAATGGTAAGTTGAGAGAGCTGGGACCCAAAGAAGAAATGCCTCAGGGAGATGTTACCAATGTTCATAATACAAGAAAAACCTTTTACACTGTCAAGGTGGTCACAGACTTTTGCCCAGAGAAGCTGTGCAGTCTCCATCGTTGAAGATACAATAAAACCAACTGGATGCAGTCCTGGCCAATCTGCTGTAGTTGACATTGTACTAAGTTTTGCACTGGACCATGCCATATAAGGAGACAAGCTGGAATGCAAAGCATAGAATTACAAGCGTAGTTCTTTTATTCATGCACATGAGATGTCTCCTTCAAAGCAGGGCAGGCATTCAGGTGCACATTTCACTTACTGCTGCCTAACAAACACACACTAATATTTACTAATCATAGTGAAACTTTGCAAAGCAGCTGCATTTCTATGATGTCATCATCCACCTGCTTCTCTATTGATCAGATGCACCCAGAGTCAGTCTTGCTATACTTACTTATCTATAGTGACAGACGATGGGAGGGTTTCAAACATATGTTACAGGGGCTAGAATGCTGGCATTATCTTGGTCACCCAGGAGTATCTTTTATTCTTCATGGACAGTGATTAAAATTCCAAGAAGCAGAGTCCTTATCTTGGGAACCAGGTTGTCCTTCTCCTTAGTTTCTTTAGCTTGCTTGCTTAAGCATGACTGTTCAGCATCCAATGTAAACTATATATATGTTTAAAGAAAGTGACTACCATTTTATATTACAAAGATTAATTGGTATAATAGATAGGGAGTGAGATTTTCCTAAGACCCCACTGTGAGCAGGAGTTGGACCAGATGATCTCTAGAGGTGCTTTCCAGCCTCAGACATGCTATGATTCTGGGAACTCAGGGCAGGAGATGATCAGTAGGTAGATCTTAGCAACAATGACACTGGTAGTTGAAACAAAATGAGGTCCTGTTATTGTAAAGGGAATATATGCTTCCACTAAACACCTCCTTAAACATGCATGGCCAGCTAAGCAAGAGAAGATGGCAAATTACAAGCACAATACTGTGCAGGTACTTCCATGCTTTACCTGTAGAAAGCTGAGCCTTGAAAAGGAGATGTTCCATTGTTTTATGATCTCAGGTTAAAGCACTTTTTAAAGTAGCTTTATTCTTTTTATTACTTTCTGCCTTACTCAGATAAAATACGATCAGATATTTTCTGTGGACTTTCTTCAGTGTTAGCACAATTCGTTTGGAAATCTGGCTCCAGTATGGTCCTATCAATGCTTTTATATCATACTTCATTCTGGGAGCTAGAGGGCAATGGCTTCCCACAGGACATAGCAGGAGTTTCTGGGAACTGTGCTTGAGGCAGTGAGAAGGAGAAAGGGAAATGACACAATACTAGTAAATATTAACTTTCTGACAGGTGTGCAAATTGATCATGTCCATTTGAAGGGGGACTGCTTCCTCAGTGCTGCGTCCTGCAAGAGACTTCCTGATTGATAGAAGTTACTTTCTAGCTATATAAATGGCAGTATTGAGAATACTTTTGCATCCAACCAAGTATTTTTTAATGCCTTTGAACAGTCAATCATGATGGTTTTTTGAGTATATTCTCTACTCACACACAAAAAACTTCAGAAGGTTGTTCATAATTATCTCTTAAAAACTTCAATGTTCAGGCTGACAATACAAAAGGCCATATCAGTTTGGACAGAAATGCTTTTCTCAACGAGTAGCTCTTCATAAAGACTCCTAAGTGTATGAAATGAGCCCAGCTCTTCCAAAGGAGCCCAGCTCTGTCACTGCCTTTCTGTGGAGATGATAAAGCTTTTGTAGAAAGAGACAGAACTTTGGCAAAAGTTTCCAAACATTTCATAGACAGATTTAAAAGGATCCCATTGTAAGAAATGAAACTGATGCAGACTTGCAATGGAAAGTGACAGTTGTGCTGGGTCGTTAAATAATAAGGAAAAAAAGCGGAGGATCATTTCTTGATTAGAATCT